ACAAGCAAACTAGAATAGTTTATTTATTCTCCATAGGAATAACATGGGAATTTTAAATTTACAATTTTTTAATTTTCTCCGTAGTCAATGAACATTCAAAAACACTTCAATATACTAAATTATTTGTTTTTTTAAGCTCTTCAAAATGGTCTAGAGAGAAATTTAAAAATTTAAAGTTTTTAGGGTCAAAAATGAGAAAAACCCATTTTTACCCCATAAAACCCCCATAAACCCCTGATCCCATGGTCCGATTATGCTGGTTCGCGAACTCGTTCGAATAAATGTAGGTTTACACGTTTGTACCAAATTTCATCAAAATCGGATCAATTTTGCTCGAGTTATCGCGCTAACGGACACATATATAAATATATATATATATATATATATAAATATATATATATATATGAATTTGAACGGATGGTGTTTTTGGCCTCTGGGGACCTCAAAACGAAAAAGTAAATCGGTCCCGGGTCTAGGTCTTACCATGAGACCTACGGTAATAGCTTATTCCCTATGGGAAATTCGCTAAAAGATAAACAAATTCAGTAAGAAACTAGCCCCAAGATATGACGGTCCCTGGCGCATTGTCTGGTTTGTAAGCCCCAATACAACCATAATTCAACGATGCGATAACGTCCTAGACGTGAGGAAAGTTCACATATCTGAACTCAAACTGTATGTGTAATTAGGTACAAAGCATGTGTCTCCAAATACTGTCGGACACGAAGTTTGGAAAACAATCTATTGTAAATAAACACCTTAAAATTGTAAATAGTAGATTAGGAAATGTTTAGGCTAAGAAACTGAGATCACGAAGGACAGTGTACATATTATTTGTATTAGCAAAATATAACCACTATGGATACATTAGAGTGTATAACAAAGCTGCATAGATATGTGTATTCGAGGAGTAATGAAGGAGATTATATGAAAATAAGAAATTCGGAGGAGCAGAAGGATTAATGAGCATAAAATTAGGTGCTAATATAAGGTTCAGACTGTTTATTTACGTTGGTGAACAATGATAAGGTGATAACTTAAATAACAAGGATTGGTGATAATAGCAACGCCTATTTATATGAATAGTTATAAACAAAGGCACGGCAAACTAAAGTTATTTCAGTATAAGCTACAATTTGTATAACAGTCGTTAGATCACAAATGGGACTGGATGCATTGCACGGCTGAGCGTGTAAATAGTAAACAAAGGAGTACATATTTATTTTAATGCTAAAAGGGCAACTAGGTTATTCAATTATTGACAATGTTTAGCAAAAGGTGACATTTATTAAATAGCAAGATCTAAGGCAGTTACAAAATATTTCGTTATTACATGGATTATAACATAAAAGGAGTATTTTGTTGATGAACAACAATGAAGACTGGAACTGAAGATAAACGAAGATGGAATGAAGAATAGATTGAAGAATACGATTCCCTTCCGTTATTCCTTATTCCTCTCAAAAATAAAATGTTTTTATTTAACGCATTTTAGGGTAAAGATCTGTAATGTTTGTAAATAATTTTAAATCAGACTGAACATTTCATTTACAATTTTGAATTTGTGCATAAGGTTTTACATAAGGTTTGTTTGAGAATAAACGAAACAGTTGAGAACTAGTTGACCGTGATTGTTTTGTAGGATGATTAGGGCACTGATAACGAGAAAGGATTCATACTACTGTCCGTATCTTGTTTGTTTGGAATCATAAACCTGTCTAATGAATTGCAATTCTATATTTTGTGAGTTTATTTATTTTTACTGTCCAGAATAAGAATTAGGGACAAATCATGTTTCAGTTAAGGATTTTTTAAATACGACAGACACAACTGAATATGACCTAAAATAAATAAATAGGTAAAGAAAGGTTTTAGAGTCAAGTTGACTTATTTTATGATAAATCGAATAAATTAAACTCTCGTTAATGATCGAGGATGGATGAATCAGTGAATGCTAGGGATGAAAGTTTGAATGTATGGGATTAGCAAAAGGTTAGCGCGTCTGTGGTACGAATGTTCACACTCATTATCTGTTTTTATTTAGTTTCACACATCACACTTGGTACTTACGTGGCCCGGGACACACAGGGTACTTCACATTGAACTTAGACACTTGTTATTTTTGCAACTTTATGTACACAAACATTATTATTATGCTCCATGTTGGTTTCGCCTTAAGCGCACTTTTGGGAATATACAGGAAAATGAGAGTTTAATGTCAAGTTTTGTTTGACATAGGTTTTTATACAATTTCGTGGTTCAGGATTACTAGGTCATATAAAGTTAGTTTAAAGTAAGTTTTGGGTACTAACAGCATGTATTTAGGTTAAGAAATGTAATACTTTGCTCTGAGAGGTTCTAAATGAAAATGTCTAACTTTATTTTACGATCAGTTTGCCGTATTTTTCAGAGTGAAAGTTAAGTTGTCTCATCTTGATTATTGTTGTAACCTGTCATATGTTAGACCGAGCGATTGCAGCGCTCTGTACCCTGGCGGATGGCAACGAGGAAATCTAGAAGTATTGCGATTGTTGCCCGCCAAGTAGTTGTAATTCAAACGGACGCTCCTGCGTCGGAAAACTTTGATTTCTTTGAATGAGAAAATGTATAAATTATGTTTGGTTTTATTAGATGAAAATTTGTAATGTTTAGAAGAGCTAAGTGAGTTTATTTTTTTATAGGCTTGTAAAATTTTAAAAAGCAGGGGAAAATTTTATGCCAGTACGTAGTGTGTTGTGAAATTTTAAAGCCTATTTAAATTTAATTTGAATTTCCCGCCCTTAGCGCCACCTGCGGTGGCCGAGGTCGGCAGTGCTTATCTGTCCGTTGGGTTTTAAAATCATATCATTGTACTAGTGGGGGTGCTGGCTACAAGTTTGCATGGCTCCTGTGATAATGTAAGTGTTACATTTATTTAGTTTAAGGATTTTTATATTCATGTTTAAAATGCTTTTTCAGGTGCTACAATTTAGTTGAAAAACATAATTAACCAATTTGTACAAGTCTTTATTTACTGTTAAATTTCGTTTGCCACGTGTGGTCAGTTAGCCTGTTTGAGTTTGTAATTTCTTGAATAGTAAAACATCAGAAGAGTTTTGAGAGCTATATAAATTTAAAATGAAAATTATATAACTTTAATATTAGGTTCTGGTCAAATGTAAATTTTTATTCAATTTAATGTAACTTAACTCAATGAATGATTTTTTGTATTGAACACTTTATAAGAAATCCGAATCAATGTTTTATACCTTTTATGCTTTTCCAACAGGTCTCTTGTAATATTAATTTTATTTTAATTTAAGCTTGTGTTAATGGTTTTGCAGACGGGAGTCAAAATTTGTTCAGCTAATTCTTAACATGGCCCAGCCCACCCCTGCTGTATTGAGTAATGTACCATTTCATAGTTTTGGGTACTAATAACAATTAAGGCTAGCATATGTGTAAAGGGTTATTTTGTTTAAAAATTAATAAATTGTTGAATCGTAATTCACTGAGTCGTTATTATTCGACTCCCCTTGTTCACGGGTCAACTTGGCGACCCCCTTGGCTCTGATCTGCGAGCTAAAGGAAGTGGATCTAAATTCATAATTATATTCAATTGGCCATCCTGGAATAGTAGTAATATGAAATTAAGATTTAAAAATTTGTGAAAAGGCAAATGGTGTAAACAATATTTCTCTCAAAATGGCAAAAGTATACAATTAATTATCTCCTTGAGAAAAAGTTTCAATTTTTAAGGTGTGTACCCTACTCTTAACACATGTTAATTGTTCAAAAATTTTAAAATGATTCAAGTAAATGTGGACTTTATAATTTCACTATTTTTTACACCAAAATCTTTCAATACAATTATTCACATTAGCGAAATTTTTAATAATTAATTAGGGTTAGATACAACAACAGATATACAATCTCACTTATTTCATAAAATCAATAATCAATGAACCATCAAATATAAGAATAAATAAACATGTCACATTTTATTTATTATATTCGTTACAGACAGTTATGAATCTAACCAAAAGAATAGTCCCTGCTCGTATTGATTCATTGTACTTGTTTACTGCCGATGAAATAACCAATATTTATACAATCAATATTCAAAAGTAGGCCTAAAAAGCAGATATTCTGATAATGTCTTTGAATATTAGCTTTGTATTCTACAAGCAGAAAGACAACAATTAACGTGCGGGAGACTACCTGACTGAGGGTAGAACGAAACTTGTTCGCAAACGGGACTCCTTCCCAGGAACCTCACCCCACAGCCAAAAATTTGTTTGCAAACGGGACTGTTCGCAAACGGGACGACACCATTCCCACCACCCTCCAACACTCACTCGCTTGACAGGGTGGCAAAGAAAACCGTCAAATAATTTTGTTTGTCAAACGCCCTGAATGACCTTTTTTATTTCTTAAGATAACAAATTGACCTGGTGGGCAACGTTTTATGTCAAATGATGAGGTCATCACTGAAAAAGAAGAGTATTTTGAAGGCTTTTCATGTTTGTAGGGTGCTATTTATTTGGACAGCATTTGAAGGAGGTTTTGCGAAACTTTAAGATAAGTGTATAGAGCTAAATAAAAGGAGATTATAACAAAATAAATCGAATTTATCACAAAAAATTGTGTTATTATATATTTTTCTAAGGTCTTATTGAACCACGCTCGTACTAAATACCTTATTGATGTATGAGAATTTTTCTACTTGTTTCAACTGCTTCTGTTGACAGGGCTTTTCCATTTGTCTTAAAATTATTGCTGTTTCAGTACTAACCCAATGTAAACACAATGACATATTCAAAATAATTATAATTACTGTATGGTGTAAAAAAATATAGCCTACATTTCCTAAAAAATAAAAGCAAATTTTTGGGCACCTCTCCAGTTAAAATGCTGGTTAAATACTAGTAATTCAGGAGGGTTATGCGACATAGGCTTCGGGGCAATGGACACGGCCCTGGATTTATAAGTATTAAATTTAAGTAAATGGCAAAACTTACCATAAGTTAGTTTTCTTCAATCTTAGTCTTAAACTGGCCCCATCCTCCATCTCCTCTTCCTCTGACACCTCTCCCCTGTATTCTCCAGTGTCGGAGGATATTAATTACAACACCCCCATTTTACTGGTAGGCTTCAGCTCTGTACAGAAATATTGCAAAAAAATAGTGTTATACAAATAATTTTAGTCCAACAAATAATACAAGTGTGTACACTCCTTTCTATATTTGCGATATTCAAATAGGTACACAGCTAATAGGAAAATGTTTGAGCAAATCTGGGTCAAGTTAGTACAAATATTAGAATTTGTAACAATAATTTGGTTTAGACAAAATAAATTGCTTCAAATTTTAATTCATTGTTATTTCCCAATTTGCAAAAATGCAAGCTTAGCCTAATAAGTAATTTCCAAACAACATGTTTCGAGATGTAATCCAAATAAATTTTAAGTAGGGGCCTAGATTTAAATTGTTATAAAAAACTATAAATTTGCATACAGATTATATATTATCCTCATATTCCACCAAAAACTATAGTAACTAGTGGGCGAAGTGGCACTTTGCTACACATGAGAGAAATGTTTAAACGCACGAGCCGTAGGCGAGTGTGGAAAGTATCTCGAGTGCAGCAAAGGCAGTTTGCACTTGTGTTACAAATTATATTTTTCTTACAGTTATTATAAAACATATAAATAATTAGTCTTTCAAACTCTGTTCAACACGTTTATAGGTGAGGTCATCAATTAACCGAATGATTAATCCCCTAGAACTCTCCATAAGACACAATGTATATAATTTCATCAATTATATCCTAATCCCTCAGCCGCCACCAGCTTTGGCGCGGAGTATAGGTTAAATCCAAACATTGGTGAAATGGTAAGCTGTACCAGTTGATCGTAGTCGTAATATCTTGAATGGGTAGCCAACTTATTTTCAAGTGTACGTATGTATTATACGTGTCTCATAAAACCACGCTGTTTTGTGTTGTTTGGTTGGAATACAGGAGTGCGGCAAAAAAAAGAGCGCGGTAAAAGTAAGTAAATGCAGCAATTAGCAACTTTCTGTGCTATAATAAGTGCAAGGAAGGCCACTTTGTCAGGTGACAGTTCATCTTCAGCGCTTCATTTTGCGCTTCATTTTGAAAACTGTGAATGACTGACTTAAACAACCTTTTTATTATTACTGTTATCATGTTAAAATGTGTAATTTTGCACACAGGCCGCCTAGTTATTAGTTTATAACTAATGTGATAACTGTATACACACATTTTTTTGTCCTAGGACGCTACAGGCACTAGTCCGGAATTTTAATTCGAACATTTCACACTTCAGCCTAGGTCTAGGGCTGTGGTGTTCACAAAAAAATAATAATAAAAATAATAAATAAAATCCATTGGTCATCTGGCAGGATTTGAGCCTGGTACTGAAGTTCTGCTCGCTCCCCTAGGGTAAAGAATTTAGTCAATTGTAGGCATTAGGCAGGCCTATAAAATAAGTAGAGGAGGCAATGACTTAGAGCATTGGAACGCCGATAAATATGATCAGCCATTAATATTAATCGGGGCCAATTGATGTGACGTCAATAGGCCTATGAGCGAAGACAGAATCATATTTATTAAATAAAGTTGTCACTTCCAATTGCTTGGTGTTGAAAACAATCAGCTGTAGGCTTAAGTTACTTCACCCACAGTTCGTTCCACTTGTTAATGTAATCCACTCTACCTTGACTATTCAAACATTTTGAGCGGTGATTTATTCCGTTTCAGTAATATTCATCTGCAGTGAAAAATAGTGGTCTTTGGATTCAGTACCTAAAAATCTACGCAGAGGATACGGGTCCGGTAACCGGACGTGGATTAGGCATCCGGCAGTTACTGTCATAACCTAACCTAACCAACCAAACTTGCTGATAATGAAAAAAATCTAATGAAGGTTAAATTCTGTCCATAAAATAAATTTATAAACGCAAAAAATTCAAACAAAAGATATTGTACTGTTAAGAATAAACCCACCCAAATATGGACAGTAGGCCTAGGACATAAAAATGTTCTTTCCATGATAACCCAACCTAACATAACTTAACCACCGCAAAGCGCTGTATATCTGTAGCCTCCGGATAATACTTACCAAAGTACCGATTTGAACTTTGAATTACTTAGTTAACAAACAGCCTAGAATCTATCCCAAAGGGGAAAGAATATTGACTCACCTCACTTAAGTTATGGTTAGACCAAGGAACATTATCACAGCAGTATGGTAATTGCCTCCAGGGTACACAACTCTGGTCTCTCTTTCTCTCTCATCTGCAGTGATGTCGATGGCAATGTCGTCCAGAAAAGTTAGTCCTCTTAACTTATTGGTTCAAGACAATATTTAAAACAGAGACCAATTTGGGTTCAGGTTAAATTACAGCCTTTGCTCCAGGATCATCTATAAAACTAACATTGAAGTCATCAGCAATGAATGATATAATCCAAGTCTAGTCTTACACCAAATACAAACAGCTCTAGAATATTTGACAGCACTTAAGTTTACGTCCTAGACTCATTCCAATGAATGTATTTCTTTAATAGGCCTACTTTCTTTCTTATTACTTGGCGACCATACAAAGTAGGTATTTTAAGCCAAGTATGAATGGAGATGAGTGTAGGATGAGTGGAGCGATCTTGTAGTCTTGTTAGTGACTAAGACTGACATTCCTTAGACACAGCTGTTAATTAATAGCCCAAACAGCTAATGGCAACTAAGGGACATACAGTTTATAGTGGAATCCGAAGGACATTAAGTTATTGCCTTGGTATAGGCCTATAAGTACGAATTGGTCTAATTATCAGGATAGTACTGGGGAGAGTCGTAGTAAGTACTCACTCGTGCGGACGTTAATCCACACCAGGGAGTGTCGAATCCACAGTGCATGCCTATAAATATCCACAATTCGTGACCTCCTAGTAGCTGGATTACAGGACGACGCCACCCGTCCCAGTCATATTGATTATTTCATTTGATAAACTTAGGCCTAGGCCTATATCAAGTTTGGTTAGTTAGGGTAAAACCTAACCTAACTAAAGGAATGAAATATTCAAAATACGGGTAGAGTTTGTTAGCTGGGCTATGCTAATAAGTATAGATTGAAACTATCGATTCGATTAGTAAACCCTCATGCGATTTAAGTGCAGCCAAATATTTTTACATAACTTAAACAAATTCTTAAAGTTGACACTGGGTCAGTGGGAAAAAGAGACGGGTACAGTTTCTTAACTGGGCTATGCTAATATCGATTGAAACTATCGAATTGAAAATAGCGATTGATTAATAATCGATATTTTTAAATATATTTATTATCAAATTAAACTATCTTAACCTAACCTAACCAACCAAACTTGCTGATGGTGAAAAAATCGCATGAAGGTTTACTAATCGAATCGATAGTTTCAATTGATCTTAGCATAGCCCATTTAAGAAACTGTACCCAAAGAGGCTATCCTATAGCCTAGGGATAATGCCTATTCAAACATTTGCTACAATATTGCTTGATGATCCAGAATTAGCCTACGAATAAGCTGTATCTTAGGTTCTTGTTGGTGACTTACCTAAGGACCAAAAATACCCAAGTTAGTTAGTTACCTAAGACACTAACCTAAGTTAGTGTCTGGTAGGACTAATGTTATTAAGTTATCATGTTGATTAAGTGTTTTATCCTATAAAAATTAACTTATTTCACATTATTCCTTAAAAACTATAGTTTGTAACACTCGAGTAATCTATTTTCTTGTAAACAAGGAAAGAAATAAACAAGATAAATATTTACAACATAAAAGTTCTTAACTTAGTCAATAAATGCAGATACCCGTCGGAATTCGGAATCAAATATTGCGATTGCGACTCGTCACTCTCACTCAGACTCGTGAGTTGAGGAACTGAACGATGAATTAGAACAACTCCTTTTCAAGAGTAGCTCCGAAGAACGGGTGCTTGTCGATATACTGGGACTATTTCAGTGTCGACAAAATGAAACTATTTCATTGTCGACAATATGGGATGTCGACAATTTGTGGTGTCGATCATTTGCGACGTCGGTTATTTGGGATGTCGGTTAAGTGGGAATATTCCAGTGTCGACAAACTGGGAATAATTCAGTTTCGATCAATTTCTACGGTTGTCGATATTATGGAACCCACCCGTCTGTTGCTTGTTGCTTGAGGTATTTACTCAGGGGAGGTATAGAAGAGGCTACGATGACAGCTGAGGGCTTCTTATTAGCTGAGGGAACGCCATTACCGTAACAAAACATTCGATGTCCATCGGCCTCGGTGGTCCAATGGATAGCGTGCCGGGCTGGTATACTGTAGGTCCCGGGTTCGAGTCCCGCTGGTAGCCTTAACTTTTTGTCCAAGATTTTTTTATTATCAGCAAGTTTGGTTGGTTTGGTTTGGTTATTACAGTTTAATTTTATTATTAAGTCATTATAAAATTTTAATTGAGCAATTTCTAGTTTTATTTAATAAACAGAATTATTTTTCCGATTACTAAACTTTTGTTATATTATTTCTTTATCAGCAAGTTTGGTTAGTTCGGTTAGGTTATGATAGTTTAATTTTATAATTAAAAATAGTAAAATTGAATTTGAGGCATTTATAATTTTATTTTATGAACAGAAGTATTTTTGCGATTAGTAAACCTTTATTGCCAAAGTGCTCTCTACTACAGCGCTGTTCACGGAGGAATTTTGAACTAAATGCCTCATTTGTACCTCCCCTAAGTCAGACCCGTTGCTTGATTGCATGATTGCATGCGTTTGACATAGTGTTTAGGTTAAGTTTACAGTTTGCAAGTTAATTTTAAAAACAGTTTCTTTTTTATTTAAATTGGATAAAACAACAATGACGGCCAGAGAAATGAATAAAACAAAACTCTCCAAAGGCATTTTGGAGATGAAGGTAAGACTCACCACAAGTTAACCTAAAGTTCCTTAACTTTTGCTAAAACTGAAGTGCCTAATGAACTTACTCTATTATACAATATATCACTTTCTCTGACGGCCGTGAAGTTAGCTGTCACCAGCTGTCGCCTAGCAGTTGCGGCGGCTCCCCCACTCCTTCACCCTGGCCCCAAGATAGATAGTCTGTTATTTATGAGAATAGACCACTAACCTCACCTTGCTACTGATTGATTGCACCTACTGTTATTACACATTGTACAAGTATACAGGATTGTTCTTATAAAAAAATATGTAAATTTAAAAAGTGAAGGATCTTTAGGAAAAAATGCTGTCAAAAGAACACAAATACAGTGGTTTATTATTTCATTACACTATGACCAACATTCATAATTTTCTTACCTTGGCCCTGTTTGATTGAACAAAATTGGATTACTGATTGTACTAGTGTAAATGAGTGCTTTTAATAATAAAACATAATAATTGGAATAAAGACTGCTTTTAATAATAAAACATAATAATTGGAATAAAAGTATAAGATGTTGGCGAAAATGGTGTCGAAAACTACCAAATGGTCAAATAATATTTCACATTCAAGATTTTTTTCTTACCATGACTCCGATTGATTGCACCAAATGTTATTACTGATTGTACTTGTACAGGTGATTGCTTTTAATAATAAAATATAATTATTGGAATAAAAGTGTAGGATGTTTGCGTAAAATGGTACCAAGACCACAAAAATGGTCAAATAATGTGCCACATTTACAAATTATTTTTACCATGACCTTGATTGATTGCACCAAATTTTATTACTGATTGTACAAGTATAGATGATTGATTGCTTTTAATAATAAAATATAATAATTGAAATAAAAGTGTAGGATGTTGGCGTAAAATGGCACCAAAGTCACGAAAACGGTCAAATAATGTGACACATTCACAAATTATTTTTACCATTACCCCGAATGATTGCACCAAATTTTATTACTGATTGTACAAGTATATATGGTTGCTTTTAATAATAAAATATAATAATTGAAATAAAAGTGTAGGATGTTGGCGTAAAATGGCACCAAAACCACGAAAATGGTCAAATAATGTGCCACATTTACAAATTATTTTTACCATGACCTTGATTGATTGCACCAAATTTTATTACTGATTGTACAAGTATAGATGATTGCTTTTAATAATAAAATATAATAATTGAAATAAAAGTGTAGGATGTTGGCGTAAAATGGCACCAAAGTCACGAAAACGGTCAAATAATGTGACACATTCACAAATTATTTTTACCATTACCCCGAAAGATTGCACCAAATTTTATTACTGATTGTACAAGTATATATGGTTGCTTTTAATAATAAAATATAATAATTGAAATAAAATTGTAGGATGTTAGCGTAAAATGGCACCAAAACCACGTAAATGGTTAAATAATGTTATACATTTAAGATTTTTTCTTACCATGACCCCGAATGATTGCACCAAATTTTATTACTGATTATACTAGTATATATGGTTGCTTTTAATAATAAAATATAATAATTGAAATAAAAGTGTAGGATGTTGGCGTAAAATGGCACCAAAGTCACGAAAACGGTCAAATAATGTGACACATTCACAAATTATTTTTACCATTACCCCGAATGATTGCACCAAATTTTATTACTGATTGTACAAGTATATATGGTTGCTTTTAATAATAACATATAATAATTGAAATAAAATTGTAGGATGTTGGCGTAAAATGGCACCAAAGTCATGAAAATGGTTAAATAATGTTATACATTTAAGATTTTTTCTTACCATGACCCAGATTGATTGCACCAAATTTTATATTTGATTTTACTAGTATAGATGATTACTTTTAATAATAAAATATAATAATTGAAATAAAAGTGTAGGATGTTAGCGTAAAATGGCACCGAAACCACGAAAATGGTCAAATAATGTGACACATTCACAAATTATTTTTACCATTACCCCGAATGATTGCACCAAATTTTATTATTGATTGTACTAGTATAGACGATTGCTTTTAATAATAAAATATAATAATTGAAATAAAAATGTAGGATGTTGGCGTAAAATGGCAACAAAGTCACGAAAATAGTTAAATTAAATGTTATACATTTAAGATTTTTTCTAACCATGACCCCGAATGATTGCACCAAATTTTATTACTGATTGTACAAGTATATATGGTTGCTTTTAATAATAAAATATAATAAAAGGAATAAAAGTGTAGGATGTTGGCGTAAAATGGCACCGAAACCACGAAAATGGTCAAATAATGTGACACATTCACAAATTATTTTTACCATTACCCCGAATGATTGCACAAATTTTATTACTGATTGTACAAGTATATATGGTTGCTTTTAATAATAAAATATAATAATTGAAATAAAATTGTAGGATGTTGGCGTAAAATGGCAACAAAACCACGTAAATGGTTAAATAATGTTATACATTTAAGATTTATTCTTACCATGACCCCGAATGATTGCACCAAATTTTATTACTGATTATACTAGTATATATGGTTGCTTTTAATAATAAAATATAATAATTGAAATAAAAGTGTAGGATGTTGGCGTAAAATGGCACCAAAGTCACGAAAATGGTCAAATAATGTTATACTTTTAAGATTTTTTCTTACCATGACCCAGATTGATTGCACCAAATTTTATTACTGATTATACTAGTATATATGGTTGCTTTTAATAATAAAATATAATAATTGAAATAAAAGTGTAGGATGTTGGCGTAAAATGGCACCGAAACCACGAAAATGGTCAAATAATGTGACACATTCACAAATTATTTTTACCATTACCCCGAATGATTGCACCAAATTTT